GATGATACAGAAGGTGGGAATTTCATTCCATTTCATTTATTAGTACACATACGTCTTCATTTCAGTTGACCTATAGGAGATACTTAATAAACTATGAGTGCCTCATTTACTCTTTTAAGGGAAGATGCAAATAAAAGATAGATTTATGTTACATGTTATGTTAGTTTATTAAGCAATATCTACAATGCTGTAAGAGAGCTGTGGCTCTGTGTGTTTTTAAACTATTACTGCAACCATTATTATGAATTGTGTCTTAACTGTAGTATATGCTAGCATCATGTAACTTTCTTTCAGTATAATTCTTCTTTGTTTAAAAATAATTGTCCCTTCTTTATTAGATCCTTGATGGGAGGTAAACCGAAAAGAAGGTAAGAAAGAGCGGAATCACATGCATGTTTTCTATGAAAGAGAATTTAGAATATTGTCTCTTCTGGGGGAGGTCCTCATACAAGCCCCCTTAGGTTTCATACTCTCCATCATCAACACATCTAACGATTCTTGTGTTGTTGTTTTTTCTGTTCATTTTTCATCTATAAATATGTGCTGTGTGTGCACAAATTAAATACACAAAAGAAGGAGAAAAAAAGTAAAAAGAAAGAAACCCTGCAAGACCACAACAGACGATGTTGAGTTTTTGAGGCATACACATTAAACCTTTCAGGATACTTGAACAAAACTAATGCTAAAAAAGCTTCTGAACCCACAACTACAAAATGACAGTTTCCTGTAAATGTCCTAACATGACAATCACACATTTAATGCTCTGATTAAATAGCTGAGTTCGGAAAGGAGCCACATTATGAACTCTCTTTAGCTCATCTTTTTCGTTTCATCAACATAAGAGCAAGGAAAGACGGTAAAGTGAGGCTTTCCAAATAATTTGGCATCGTTAAATGATACTTAGACTCCTTGTATGGAAGCGTTACCACATTCCCTCTTCTTTACTCTTTTTATTACTCAACTTGTGAGTTTGCTGGTTGAAACACACTGTTCCTGCTGACTGGGCGAGCTGTCTTGTTCACCAATACAATTCTCCCCACTGACTCTAAATGTACATTAGTATTAGTATCAGAGGGGATGATGGTTTTCATTTTTAGAGAAGTGGTCTAGACATATTTAAAGGAGCTTTGGTTGTTAAGCTTAAACTGTGCATGAGTAAAACAAAGAGGCAGATAGTATTGGCCAATAAATCTCAGAACATCGGCTATCAATTGACAACAATTAAACTGGAAGTGTTCACAGACAGCACTTTCTGCACTGACAGCGCTTGTTTTTAATACAAAACCAATGTCGTTTAGCATTTTCAGTGCCCTGGGTGCAATAACGCTGTTAGCTGTTTTTTGTCTATGCGCTCACAGCACTTTCAACCCTCTCAGTTGAAAACAGTTAAAGTTTTAGAACAGCGCCGCTTCATGAATGTCACTTCTCCTTCACTGACCAATCAGAATCAAGACTGGGCGGGACTTAAAACATCAAGTTTGGAGCGCTGGCGGCGCATTGGTTAGTGTGCGCGCCCCATGTATGGAGGCTGTAGTCCTCCAAGCGGGCAGCCCGGGTTCAAATTCGACCTGTGGCTCCTTTGATTCCCCACACTCTCTCTCCCACACATTGTATATAGAACAATCACCTTGTGGACTAATTAATGAGTAAACCTTAGGCAAGACTTAGAGTGTCTCTCATGGCTCCTAAAAGTTGTGGTTGGATTTTTAAACCTAATAAAATGTAAATAGACTCACTACATTGTTTAGTACTTATATTAAGCTATGGACTTCAGTGGAAGTAAGATGTTTCATCTTGTTATGTTACCATGGAAACTGAAACTGGGTGTTTTCCATGTATGTGTACTAATATGATTACCTCAAAGGCAAAAATCCCCTGCTGGACCCTGTTTACTCTGTTTTTTCGAAAAGCAGGCCAATAAACAACCGAGTGAACGGGAGATTATTGCTGAAAGCCTTCTTTAAATGCCCCAAAGTGTTTTAGGGGATGTTTTCCTCTTAGACTGCGAAGGAGAGTACTTAAATTATGCACATCGGGAAAGTGCAGGGCAATCAGAGCAATATCAATGAAAAAAAGGCTAACCAGCACACTTACTCAGTACTGCAGAATATTCTTTCAACGCTTCTATACCAGATCAGTCTTCATCTGTTTTTGTTCCCCTATGACTGTTCCCTGAGAAACTTAGCTTTCCTTGCCTCACAACGATATTTTGCTTGTTCTTAACTTAACCTTCTTCTTACTTTATGCTTGCTTCTTGATTTCTTAGCTTTATAGGTGCTCATTTTGGGTCTGGAACTATTTCTTTGGGATGCACTTTAAAAACAAATCACGACTTGATTTTTTCCCCCCCTTTTAGTGCATATTAGCAGTCTCTTATAATAACCTAATCATCAATCTGTTTCTGTGCCCATGACTACAGGACAATTTAATCAGAGCTCTCATCACTTGTCAGCGGCAAGCCATAAGTGGGGAGTCATAAGTGGCCCAACCACTGTTGGTGTAAGTGCAGTAGGTGATTATCAAACTGGTCTCCTGCAGGTAGAAAAAGTAGATCTACTCTTGATCTCTTTGTGGCACAGATCTGGGAACAGATGGACTGTATTTCACTAAACAATAGATTTTGAGCCACACTACCGGCACTGCTCTTCAGATGGAAATGTTAGTCAACCACCACTTTAGTCAACACATAAATAACTAATCGGCTGTTGGTTGGCTTACAAAATGATGTTCAAGGAGAAAAAATACTGATTGGTAAACCACACGAGCATCAACCATGAGATTGCCACTTCTACTTCTGCAGTGCAATATTTTGTTATTATCAGGTCAACATATATAATTATTTTGTCACTGTGAGCATGTTAGCAAGCTGTTTAGCATCAAGTGTAAAACACTATACATTTTATCCTTTATTGTGAAAAACTCTCTCAGGTCTGTTGTGCTTAAAACTAAATTATTGATTATCCTTCTTTCTTTAAGTTCAGAGGTATATGATGAATAAAAGATATGTGCACTATAAATAGCTACAGACTGCATTGCTGGACTACCTTGCTGATGTGGCACAATCACTGAAAATGTTCTAGTTCATTAATGAGCGGTGAAATGCTCCAGTTCCACACTTGTCAGCAGCTGACTAGGCCAGCAATACAAAGTTTACTTGCACATATATACGGGTTCAAAGCACACAAGCATAAGTGAATGCATATACATATATATTGATATGTAATGTACTGGATGTGCAAGAGAAGTATTCAATAATAGCTGTATGGTTCGTTGTAGCGATTCTTCATGTAGAAAGAAACCACAGGGAATACATTATAAGGGTCCATTTGCCACTTGTCTGTGTGGACCTAGTGAATTTTCTTCTAGCAGAGTTTCTTTTCTCTGCAAGTGCATTCTCTTCACCATTCATCAAATATCTAAATCTAGACAGAGAGGTTGTTTCCATCTGCTCTTTAAAGCATTTGATGGTTAAGACGAGAGCTTGGGGTGGCTATCAAGAGAGATGTGACTATAGAAGCGATTCTTGACACATTCACATTGGCTATTCTTACAAACATGGCTTTTTTGTTTTTAAGTTATGTGTCAAACTTAAGTGAATTTACATACATTGTAAGTGTTACGGCAACACTGTCCTGATAGGTTGTATGGCATGGCTGTCAAGACATATTAAATAGTAAATATGCCAATATATGTTAGTTAAGTAATGATAGCCACTAACAATGTATGCATGTTAGTACTTATTTAAACAAAACCATTAAATGGTAAAAATGGTAAATGGATTTGAGCTTGTATAGTTCTTTTCTAGTCTTCTAACAACTTAAAGCGCTTTAACAGAGACGACCGACTCTACCAACAGCCACCCCATGACCACTTCCTAAAACTCTACCTGTTGTTTCTGGTTTCTGATCTTTCTCTTGTGTATTGATGCCGATGCCTAACATAAGCAAACTGCATCTATTTCATGTTATTTACCTTGTGTTGAAATAAGCAGGTTTCACAGCATGCTTTGTTTGAAAACAAAAACAACTCTTGATGTTGATTACTTAATATTATTGACTTGACAGCTTTATTTCATTTTGCTTATTTATTGCTAATAGCATGACTTCAGTCCTGCACATGCATATTAGATGCAAAAGCAGTACCAACATCGTCACATTTTGCAGCAATCCCTAACCTGAAGCTAGCTGCCACACTGACATGTTTGGAGTGAGAACATCTCATCTCCTGTATCTTCTTTTTATTCAAAATTGTTTAATAAAATCAGGTAAATGTGAGTATAAATCTGTTTTTCTCCAAAATACAGATTGCTTCTGTAGACCTAAAGATAGCCTTTGGCTTTATTTATTGCACTCTAGCACTCTTATCTCTACTTTACCTCAGGCGTCATGTGTTGTAAATGATAACAGTTATTAACAGAACAGAATTATGTTTGAAAATGGTTTCAAATAGATAAGGTTCTGTCACATTTGGGGATTTATGATTCAATTTAAGAGCAGCTTGAAAAGAAGAAGTCCACACAGCGCTTTTGGCTTTTCATAGAAAGCATTGATCATTATCAGAGAGAGTAAGTGCAAACCTTGAACATACTGTGTGTTTTAAGGAGTACTTAAGTAATATTTTCTCTCTTGGTGTTCTGGGATTTATATATATTAAGAGAGTTTTTGACACTATTCATTTTCCTATAGAAAAGTCATTGTCTTTGAATTATTCATGTCTAGACAGCATAACAAAGCAAGCATATTTCCTGGGAAATAATACAAAAGATTAGCCCTTATGAGACAGGTACAGAGACCTGGATTATTTTTGGGCAGCGTTGGCGGAGGGAAAGTGCTTTCCTGTGTTGGATACATCACAATTCCATGTCTCAGGCTTGTAACACTCAGGCTGAGGGGCAGCTGTAGTGGTTGTTGGCATATGTAAGGCAGCAGTAAGTGATGCTGCACCTGGGGCTGTAAGGTACAGCGTACTGTACAATGATCATTCATTTAGTGTCTACTTACTGCGCTGGTGGTGCCATCTGTGTCTGTTAGCCTCTGGTGCAGATCAAACCAGACCGTCTGTAGCAAAACAACAACAACAACACGAACATGTCAGTCAGCAAGACCAACGGCGGCAACTATCACAACAACAGCTTGAAGCAGACATTGTCACTCACAACAAGAGGTCAAAGGGAACTGTGAGCAAAAAATAGAAATGAGAGCTTTACATGATTTTTTTTTCTTTGCATGAAAAGCTGAAAAGTTAAAAAAAAAAAAAATTAACTCAATACCACAAGGCAGGGGTTTAAATTAAAGGAATTAGATGACATGCATTTGTTAGAATCCTGTGGTGAAATAAGGAGGATCTGATGTACTGATGTTCTTAAAGATTATAAAAAGGACACAACTAACCTCCTTAGTTATAAACATAAGTTGTTGCCAAAAGGAAAGTGAAATAATCAGAAGCAGTGAGTCACACATCCTCCAAATATGATTTATGAAGTAAGACCAAGTTAGTTAATTTATTTACTGATTATTGTAAAAACAAGGATCATCTTCTGGTTTGTCCTCTGATGTCCCTGGACTGCTCTGCCTGATCAGTGTGATAGACAAATAGTTATTCTTGTCATCTCTGTGTTTGTAGTTTGCACAGTTAATGCTTGACTTTTAAGTCTTGACTTTGTGTAGAGCACAGACCTTTGGACCACCAGTTGGTTTTCAAGTGCTTGGTGGGGACCCCAGCAGAGAAAACCCTTTTCCCCTCAGTTTCTGTTAACGTGACCATATGCTTATAGGCAGTCCCGGTTGCCATGGTTGTTGGTGAAATGCACCTATTTTTCGCACACCAATTAATAACAGCGGCAAACTAAGTGATTTATTTCAAACAGCGTGTTTTCATTTGTTACTTAATGGGGCGGCTGTGGTTCAGTGGTAGAGTCAGCCGTCTATCAACCAGAAGGTTGAGTGTTCAATCCCAAGTTCCTGCAGCCACATGTCCGATGTGTCCTTGGGCAACACACTTAACCCCAAATTGCTCCTGCTGCTTTGTCGGCTGCGTATAAATGTGTATGAATGGGTTTACTTACTTCACTCTATAGTAACTTCTGCCATCAGTGTGTGAATGGGTAGGTACGACTTGCGGTATAAAAGCGCTTTGAGCAGTCAGAAGACTAGAAATGCGATATTCAAGCTCAAGTCCATTTACCATTTAATTTGAGTTTTAACTTTAGCTAGCTAGTGTTATGTACTTCTAACACATACATAGCCAAGTAATGCTAAGAGATACTCTGGGTTGTAAGCTAGCTAGCCAAAGATGCAAATTGACAGTCTATTAAAAAAAAATACACAACTACTTTAAAGTTTAGATTCTCCCCAGACATTATCAGGTTAAGCTAGGTAGGCCAACATTACTGTTTGTTTATGAGTGTCTGTGTTTGAAGATAACAAGAAATTGATTTTGTATTTTTCTCCTTAACTTTCAATGTGTCAGAAGCATATAAACCTGCTGTAATAAATCACAGTAAGCCCTGCAGGTTTTTGTCACCGAGGTGACTGATGAGTTTCACTGTTGCTGCTGTGAATGAATAGTGTCTGCATCACTTGCAGGGCAACAGAGACTTTTACAAAACCCAGCAGGTAAATTAAACGCTATGGGGTCTGGCAGAGTGGGTCGGTGAGATACACACTCATGCTCACAAACACACACTCATACTGTAAAAGCAAAAGAAACACACTGGGCTCGAGGATGAATAATTTGGGTTTAATGGGACACAGTCAGGTCACAGCTGGACTGAAATTGAGGTGCTGTGTGATGTTGGTTGTGGTGCACATAAAGGTTTTCTGAGGTGAAGACTTACTGCTGGTAATTCTCTACAGAACCAACAGCGAAATAACGTTTTAGTGAAACATAGTTTACCATTAAAATGTATAACAATCACTTTCTTTAATGCTACATTTGCGGAGACTAGGGGTTAAGCATAAAGAACATTGACTTATTGTGGCATCTTAAAATTGACATGACTCTTACGCTGGCAACCACAAAGTAAGGAGAAACGTTAGCATTATTCTGCAACCCATTACACATAGTGTTAAAATCAAATCAGATTTTTGTTTATTCTGATTAACAATCTAATCTTGCCTTTGCCTACATACCTGTAATTTAAATGTATTTTATTATTATCATTGAAATCTGTTCCCTGTCCTCCAGAGGCAAACAAAACTGAGTTCAGAGCACTGTATAGGGCCTACATTTTGTAAATGATGGTTCCATATAGGGCAATGTCAAGTTAAGTATAAAGCAGGGTATGCTTTTGGTTTTATCGATGGCAGGTTACCAAAATGGAAACCTATCAACAACAATGGAGATTTTAAAAAACGTATCAACTCAGTCATCCAACTTAGACACACTACAAGATAGTATTGGATATTTTGGGCCTAATTCCCCAATTTCTGACCAAAGTCAGCAAATTATCAGATGGTTCCAAAGATTATCTTGCCAGATTTTTCTATGGTGTGAGGTGCGTTCAGAGTGATTTTTAGCCTCCCCAATATGCTCAGAAGATGATCGGGGAGGTTAACTATTATCAAAAATCCTGTTGTGTGGGGAAAACACAGATTTTGCCGAGCACACACTCTGTGGATTGCCACGTTTGACGGAACAATAGCCAATCAGGAAGCAAGCTGACTGAAACAGGAAGCACAACAAACACAGCCATGGCAACGGCAGTAAACAGAGAGCATCATGTTAAATTGATGTCAGAAAAGGGGGACTTGGTGATTTTTGGCTACAATGTGTTCTGTAAAACATACCACAATCCAACCAACAAGGAAAGGAGTTGGACCAAATTGTCCCAACAATTGGTGTACCAGGTAGCTAACAGCTAGTCACATTTAGCTTGACCACCATATCGTTACATTATCAATTCCTCTCGCTTGCCGCCTCTCATGTTTTTGTTTTGTGCGCATTTTGACTCTGGTTGTTGGTGAATGATTCTGATAGTGTTTGGTGTGCTACGTTGGTCATCTTATTGCATACCACACACCATAAGACCAACATGTTTAGATCTGTAATGACTTGTCATCGTGTGTGTTCACATTTAAAAAGAAGTTTAAGATTTTAAAAGCCTCTTAGTGTGTGCCAGACTTTACATTACAAACTACTGTGACCTCGAAGCCGCTACATCGCCCTCTGTTATACAGTCAGTGGATTAGAAGTCATGCAGAATGATGATTAAGGGAAAGATACTGGCATGTTGTACAAATGTTATTCATACTTGCATTATTAATTAATTCTTACATAATCTGATCAGTACACAACCTCTTGATGTTGTCAGGTTGAGGTGATCACATTCTAATCCCAACGCATTTACACATGGCACATGTTTTTTTTTCTTATTTAGATATTGTTTGCGGATACAGATCGTATTAACACCAGACGTAAATAGGTTTTTGGAGTAATACTGGAATTCTGTCCCCCTGATGACCACTTTCTGTTAGCTGTAAACTAAAACAACGGGCAGAAAGAAGCTACATAACCTCTGATGGGTACTGCTAATTAAATGGTTCATTCTCTGAACATTCATCACTAGAAGTAACTGCTACAAATGCTATGAACAAGTTGTGTTTGTCCTGATCCTGAGCCAAGTCTTTAACATCTGGTGTCTCCCAATACCGAGTCCAGTTCTCATAAACCTACCTTGATACAAGCTACATGATAAAAATCTTGATATTTTTTTGTGTTGGGCACCTGACCCTGCAGTCTTCGGTTAAAATGGAATAAAAGAGGAGATGTTGATACTTAAAAAGCCCTCTTTGTTTAGAAAAAACGATACGTCTTCCACCTAATTAAATTTGGGTAATTTGGAGTCCACAACCAGTTTGCAGGGATATCATAAACACAACAACGGCCAAGTTTTATTTTGGCCAGTGATCCAGTTACCAACATAATTAACTCTGCCAAGAGCTGCCATTAAGGGAAGGCGGAGTGTAAGTTGTCAAGGGCAGCATAATATTCTTTTTCTGAAAGCAAGAAAGGAAAAAGCTGTGACTGATTTTTCCAGAGGAGATATATTTTCCTGTCAGTAGCACACAGGTAGCAATAAATCTTGATATTTTGTTACCAAAAGAAGAAGCAAACTCCCAGGGGAGTGCAGACAGTGAGAGGTGTTCAAAGTCATCCTGAGTAACAGAGGTAACATGAATCTGCCTCTTTGAGGAGGATTTGATGGCAACACTTGTTATCACAAAGCACTGGTGCCAACAGAGAGCTTTATTTTTTATCTCAACAGACCCCACATCACTCAGTATATTGTGGTCTTATTATCGAGCAGTCATTAAACAATTCATGATTCACTCTGATGCAGTGTGATAATATGATTTCCTTCTCCTGCACTGCTTTAACACTGAGATCGATGCAGTTAATAGCAGGCTAAACAGAGAGGCAAAGACAAAGCCTCTTCAATACACCTCCAAAATGGTTTCCTCTGCTTTGATAAGACTGCGGCAGTATTCTTTCTGATCTTCTGGAAATGTAGTTCAGCAGAAAATGTCTGTTCATTTGCTTTGCTTTTTCTTTCTTTTGCAGTTCTTGCAGAAAACACACTTTCCAATAAAAGTCTGCTAACCTACTTTTTATTTTTCCATGAACAATGTTTCCTTCTGTTTGATGTTTTCACTATGGGTCATTTTAGAGGTTATTTCTTCTTTTCACAAAGAAAATATTTCACTGGTGGGGGAAATGAATTGTAAATGCAGACACCTCAAGTCATCCACACAAAGCATTAGAGTATAATGTGTTTGAAGTAAAGTATGTCATAACCCTTTTCCCCCTGATTGGTTTTATCTTTAAAAAGAGAATACCAAAATTGAAATCATTGATCAAGTTGACATTTGATCTTAAAATATTAACACTACACTAGACTCCTGTATGGTGTTTTCTATGTCTATGACTTTTTTAATAAAATGTCATCCATTGGTCTTCTTCATGTTCCAATTTTCTTATGTATTTTGTATTCTATTCTGAATTTAAAATAAATTTCACTCTGAGTCACTTTTTTTTCCAATATTGGGACATCTTCCAATTTAAACATAAAAAAACTTACCATGACTATAAGTTTAGTTAATATGTGACTTTATAATAATATTACAATTCCTTATTCCCTTTCCTCTTTATGAAGTCATTGTTTTTTTCATTGTCTCAAGCATATAGTAGTTTTGTTACAATGTTTTGAACTGACTGGGTAATAAGCCGACTTTGGATTGTCCCTGGAATGTTGTTAAAGAGGTAATAAAAATATCAATAAATAAAATCAATGACACTGTCATTTCTACTTTCCCTACTATTCAGATAATGTTAAGCTTCAATGGCTTACTCACTACGGCTACCTCTGGTGTTGAAAATTATTGCCAATGCAGAAGTGAAAAAAAAACTACTGTTCCTCGAGTGTTGAGTTCAGTCTCGTTCCAAAGACCCAGAGGCGTCTAACGTCTTTATAGGCACACACACTGTACGAGGGGGGATTTCTTTTACAAGTCATTTTAATTTCATGAAGGACAATCAATCAATCAATCAATCTTTATTTGTATAGTGTCAACTCATAACAAGTGTTATCTTGAGACACTTTACAAAAAGCAGGTAAAAGACCTTACTCTTTGTTTTTCAAAATCACAAAAGAGCAGCTAAAAAGACCATACTCATTGTTATGTTACAAAAAGCAGGTAAAAGACCTTACATATTGCTATAATAAAAAGACAAGAGATATTCATAATAAGGGACATTACTGATCTGGCCTGTTTCAGCTCCAGTTCGTTGCCAGTTACTAGGATAACCTAAAGTTAGTCTGAGACAGCGTTTCCAACATGGCAAGCGCTGTGATGGGCTTCAAAAGTCCACAACAATATGTAACTTTGCCAACGTAAAATATTTGTTTGAAGTTGATCTATTATTCTAACAACTCTCAACAGGGAGAAGGGTGTCTCTCCCATGTTCATAGATCCCCCCGGTCGCCTGCTTACAGCACTATGTAAGTTTGGCAGCTTACTGTAGATTTCTTACAAGAAGTAATGGTTATTGGACTTGAGCTTGTAAAGCGCTTTTTTAGTGTTCTGACAACTCAAAGCGTTTTAACCAACAGGTCACACACTGTTACGAAAAGTGTCCATCAGTATTAACTGATCCTATTCATACACATTAGTTCGAGGTTAAGTGTCTTGCCCATTGTGGCTGCAGAAGCTGGGGATCAAACTCTTGACCTGCCACCACTGAGCCACATTTGCCATACGGCTATACGACAAAGCCTGTTCAATACTGTTTAATAGAATAGCTAAGGTTAAGAGACAGAAGGGGACGCTGACGGATGGAGCTAAGAAGAGAAGGAGAGTGACTGAGCAAGAAGATGAGACTACATCAATCAATCAATCAATCTTTATTTGTATAGGGCCAATTTATAACAAATGTTATCTCAAGACACTTGAGATGACAAAAAGGAGGTAAAAAACCTCAGTCTTTGTTATATTCTATTAGAAAAGAACATTGTTATATTATATACAGAGACCAAACATCAATCCATAATGAGCAAAGTTATGGTGGCAAGAAAAAAACGTCCTTTAATCCTACAGATATTATCATAATAGATTGCAACATAAAGATACATGGACTTGGACTTGAGGTTATATAGCCTTTTTCTAGTCATCTGACTACTCAAAGCACTTTTACACCGCATGTCACACCTACACATTCACACACTGATGGCTGAAGGTTGCTATGTAAAGTGACCATCAGAAGCAACTAATCCCATTCAATCGCTACCGACGAAGCAGCGGGAGCAATTCGGCGCCCAAGGACACATCGGACATGTAGCTACAGGTGCTGGGAATCGATTCCCCCCGAATTTCCAGTCAGGAGACGGCCGAATCTACCAACTCAGCCACAGCCGCCTCATGTTGGCCTCAATTGTTATTGGTATCAGCTTTACATAGTGCAGAAAGTCATCCAACCCAAGTTATATCTCAGGCTTGCATACAAATAAATACGAGCTATAGATGCTAGCGGTTATATTTTTGAGAAATCCTGTAATATCACTGTTGGTTTCTAACAAAACCACTGTGTGCTTGTCAAAAAAACGCAAATTGTCTGTGATGTGAGGCATAAAAGCACTGTGTGTTTTAGAAGTTCCTTTATTCCTGTTTACACAGGTAAAAATCAGACTATACTTTGTGGAATCATCCCTAAGAAGATGTGCCTTTACACCTCAGCCACTGAAAACCATACAGGGAAATGTGCTCTCAGTGGAGCTTTAGAATCATGATAATTAAAAAGTTCTTTGACAGGTGATTCAATCATCAGAGGTTACATTCTTTCAAATATTAAATCATCATCTGTGGTCAAGTGCTATAAATTGTTTGTAAGACAGGGGCACATTAAGACATCTTTTTACGAGCACATTGAGGCTATTGAAACTTGAGACATTCAATTCCTCTCTGTTTATAGAACTCTTTTTATTCATATGATTCTCTTTCTTTCTCCACCTATTCACCCTACTGCCTTCCTTCCCTCTTGCAGTACTTTGTGTTCAGTTATTCGTAGCTCTTTCTGTTGTAGTGGAGCTCTCTCAAAAAGACAGCTGAGTCTGCTGGGGCCCCATTAGCCTTAACATGTTCAGTATTGGACGAGACGTGGGCAATGCAGAGGAACAGAGGGACAAAGAGGGAATGGGAGGAAGAGGGGAATGATAGATGTAAAGACCAAGGAGGGGAGGGGAAAGATGAAGAGGCATTTGGGATGGGAGATCTGCTACAAAGAGGAGGAGGACAAGTGGGAAAAGAACCATTGCTACAGTTTGGACCCCAGGCCTCTAATTGCATCTGCCTTCTTTGTTCAGTCCCTCGTTTCATTCTTTACTTTTCATCACTTAGTATTAATTAACTTCATATGTACTGTATCCCGCTCCTTCACCCCCTCATCAACACCCTTCTTCTTCCCTCTCTATTTCCCCCTTTCTTCTTGCCTTGCAGACCTTCAGAGACAGTTGGCTGCTCTGGCATTTCCCAATTTGGACAATGTAACATCTCAAACTTACAAACCCTTCACTAACTGACAACTTGTTAAAAGTGTGAGGATGAGATTCTGTCTGTCATGAAGAGCCTGATGTGTGGAAAACTGAAGCCATTGTTTCTGTTTACATCTTTGTAGATCCATTCTTGATAAATATATAAATAATAAAATTAAATAATAGTGTAATTTTGTAATAAAGAGAAACGTGCAATATTTGATAAATGTTTGTGTTCTTTTATGAATCTCTTTGTGGTGACGATATGTTCACAAGGTCCCAGTTCTGGGAAAAAGAAACAATGTAATCCACTTCAGTTAGAAGTAGAGCCATTTGATTTGTTGGTTACTTGATAGATGTACCTGTAAATAAGTTTTGGAAATATTCCCTCCCACCTCAAAAATATATTTTCACAAATATCATTTAAAAAAAGCTCCTAACATATCTGGGTGATACACAGTTGCAGCCACCTCGAACTTCCCCTTCCAGCAAAAAGGCCAGTCAACTTCCAGCCAGTTTCCAGCCAAGCAGAGTCCCACCACCCAAGTTCATTTAGGGCATATCAAGTTATAATTAGTCCCTTAATATATCATGTGTAGGTTTTTGCTCGTTGGGACATTTTAATTGAACAAACATAAACATAATATCTTACTCCTTTTAAGTGCCAGGTGTAAATACTGGGGGTTGTCATTAAATGGTATAAATTCAGACATATACAGAGTCTTCCCTTGAGGAAATTTGATCTGCTTGTGCACAAAGTATTCATCCTGGAGAATAGCAAGAAACCACTTAAGCTCCCAGAGGTGATCAGGAGTGGGAGGAGAAATGCGGGAGTGAGCCCTATTTCAGGCTTCTTCAGAATGGCTACTCAATGCATAAGACAGAATAATGATTTCAGGAGATGCATTCCTGTGTCTAACATGGGCAAATGAAAATTGTGCCAGTTATATAACAGGAAAAACAGCACAACTGACCTTGAACCCAATTTTTCTTGGTCAATAGTGAATTTTCTTTCTGATGTCTGATGATTGCTTGACAACATCTCATTTAAGACCACTGCACCCAATGGCACATAGAGTGTACGAAGTGCATGCTGGGTATGAAATGACAGTGGGCCGGTTGAAAACCATTTATGATGGATGTGCTTCAATGGGCTCTGGTCGCAGCATGTAAAATAGGGCCTTAGTGGTTTGATTGAAATTAATGTTAGAGATAGGTTCAAGTACATCTCTGGGAAAGTAAACCAATGCAACATCTTCCTAAAAAGAGCATTGTGGATGTGTGTGTGTGTGTGTGTGTGTTTATTTTTTACCTTATTCTCCAGGCGTCCGATTAGTTCAGCCAGGCGGTTGATCTGAGACTCCAGACCTTCTTTCCTCACCTCTATTGCACCTAAAAGACACACACACAGTCTTAATACACTGGATAGGATAAGTAGAAATACGTGGTTCTTAAAAAAACATTTTTTTAAGAAGACTCCCTGTCAGATTCATCAACGTGTTCTGAAACAGCTGAAATGTTCGCGGCTGCGTTCTTATCGCCTTGTGTTTGTAAGTTACAAGCGTGCAGCATGTTGGTCCCAATAAGCATATAGGTAACCGCCAACTAACGGCCATAAAGGGCATGAGTGCAGGGCCCTGCAGACACACATGCTTAGGTTGTAGAGATGCCCAACAGGGGGCTGCAGATGGCGTCGGCGGAGCATCGAACTTTAGCAGTTCTCAAGTGGAGGTACTACTGCAGGAGGTCAGCAGCAAACACGCTGTTTATTCAAAAGTGTGAATGATGGTCACACAGGAACACACAAAAAGACGCATAGGATGCAACAAAGATAATGAATGTATGCCTATGTGAATTGAAGTGTCACGTGTAGCGTTTATTTATTTCAAAGACAACTCTGATTTGTGAACATCATAAAAATATTCATGAGCTTTTTTTTTCAGTATGAAACAAAATATTTTAATGCAAACAGTTTGTTATACAACTAGATTCAAATAGAATGCAATAACCAGTCATACTGCAGCACACAAATGTGAGTTAGAGTGCTCTTGAGTGTTCGTAACTTCTGTTCTTACCTAAGAACAAATCCCACATTAGAAAACGTTGCTGATTCACAGAATCTTCTATAACAAGTTCTTAAATAGGATTTAAGAACAAATTTGTTGCTAAGAATTGTCTTGTTCTTTAATTGTGACTACATCATGATTGGTGTTGAAAAGCATTGTACATTTTCCAGCAATATTTATTGCATATGAAACAATACAGTACAAATCACCATGTTCTTCCTGTACTGCCATATTTTGCAAACAGGTTGTAATCTCAAAGCCTACCGTAATTTTATTGTGTAATTTTTGATAGCTATATAGCCACAACAACACCCCTTCTCTGTGTGTGTGTGACAAACCTGTTTTGGAGTGCTCTGTGAATTACTGTGCCTGTGGTTGCTTGGTGAGTCCTCTAGACTAGATATTTCCTCCAACTGTGCTGCCAGCTGGTGAAGTCTGATTGTTGTACCAGCGATCAACCAACCAGAGGAGAGCCCCTCTGACTCATCCCTCACAGCTCTGCCTGCTGGACCTTCAAGATGCAGCACTGATTGAGATGGACTTGCTTCTTTTCCATGTTTTGCTATTGTTACTGTTTTCATGAATTGTTGTAGACACAGCTAGCTGTATTGTTATACTTGATCGATCTTGTAATGAGGCATTTGTTTTGGTACGTGAACTGGACCAGGGAGTTAAGTTGTAGCACACACACACACACCTTAGAGTTATCTCTGTTGGACACACTATAGGTTTAAATTGCTGGTTAACCTGTTTTTCGGTTTGGTTTGTTAGTTAAGGAAATCAGGCTTTATTTCCATTTTTGTATCACTTATTACTAAGAATATCATTTTCCACTCCAACTTACAGTCATCTTTTTGTTGTATTTTTTCTTTATTTGATCAGCACCCACAGGCCCCTTCATTTTGGACCAACCCGTTAAGAGCTTTAACTATGTATGAAAAGTCTTCAACAGACCTGTGAAGTTGAAAACGCTGGAAACCAAAAGAATAAAACTGATGGTCTGTAAGGATTAGCTGAACGCAATAACTAATGTTTACATGGACATATTGATGGATTCATTTGTATTTGACAGTGGCCTCAATCTAAAGACGAGTGTGACAGTAAGGATTCTTTAAATGTTACTACTGAATTGGGTGATTTAATTGTTACTTCCTAAGCGTAATACAAGAACATATAAGGTTGCTGTATTGGAATATATATACAGTATATATATACTGGAGTCTCTCTCCAAGAGCATGCATATACTGTATAAAAACAACAAGCCCTACTGCCGCCCCACTAAGCAAATAACATTCGTCAAGGCAGGAAAGCAGCCCAAACTGTATTTCAGAGCTGCAGCTGGCCTACTCTCCACCGCACAGAACTGGCAGCTTACTGGTTGACCTGGGAAAGCAACTGAAGTCTCCGAGGCCTCAAGACAGCTTGCCCTTATAGAATTGACTGTGCCCTGGGAGGACCGTATTGAGGAGGCTTTTGAAAGGAAGCTGGCCAAATACCAGGGACTCCTCGAGGACAGCCGGAAACGAGGGAGGAGAGGAATCTGTTATCCGGTTGACGTGGGCAACAGAGGCTTTGCAGGCCCGCTCTCTCCACAGAGCCTACACCCTGCTGGGTATGAGAGGGCCACAGAGGAAAACGGCCATCAGGACTGCAACGGCGGCAGCAGAGAAAGCCTCCAGGTGGCTGTGGATAAAAAGGGGGGGATTTGTGGCCTAATGCTGCTGGGACGCAAGTCAGGGTTTAATCAACCTCGGCTGGGCGAGGGTGTATGATGTTGCGAGACCTGAAACACTCAGTGAACCCAGGAAACATCACTGATGATGCGTCCCAGCACATCTAGGATGTTTCTTTTATCTGTGCAGTATATAATGGTTGGATATTGACTTTTGTTTTTGAGTGTGATTACATTTTGCCCGTAAAAAAAACAAAAAAAACAATGAATGAATGAGTGAAACCTTCACTGGCCCTAGGGGAATTTGTCTTGGACCAAGAGCATAAAATCATAAAAGACAAAAGACGCCGACAAGCAAAAAACACCTTACCTATCTCATTATAATTGGAATTACTGGGTGAATGACCAAGTTGCTGTATTTAAAAAATGGGGAGTGAGAAAAGGCTGCTCCTTTCACCCTCCAGGCCCTTATGATTCTCCTTCCTTCCTTCGTCCCTCCTCTCCACCATCTGCCCCTCCACCCCCACCACCACCCCCCACCAACCCTCTCCTGAGCTGCTGTACTCCTTTGATCCCTGATGGCTCCCTCACAGCTAATTGGAGAGCTGGCTGCCCACTCTTCATTAAAAGCTTTAACAGACAGTCAATTAGGAGCTACCTCCCTCAGCCTCAAATTCTCTCATAAACACGCACGCACACATATAGATACACACACAGAGGCATGCAGACAAGCACACACACAGGCACGCAGACACACACACACACACTCATATACTAAAACATGGTTTGTAACCATGGAGACAGTTGGAGCTAAAAGCCCACTGGCCATTACGATGGACTTTGAAAATAAGCGTCCCGCTCAATTATAAGAGTGTGCGGGAGAAATTACAGCCTTCAAATGTAGCAGAGGGCTGTGGGGGTTGAGGGGATCTTTTCTCCTCAATTACACATGATGCGAGTTGCTCAGCATTCACCTAATTTAACTTTCACTCAGTGTCAACCACTATTTAAATCTGTTGAATCTGCAAGTCATGAAAAAAGCTTGATTGTCTCTCATATTTAAGCCCTAATGTTTGCTCTGTCGTCTTCTTTTCTGTTCAATTTAAAATACTTTTCAGCAGTCAATATGAACCAAGAAGGTTTCAAAAACATGGACTATCAGTATATTAATATTATATAAATTAATGCTAGAAGCCAGTGATATTGCTGACCATGTTTTCGAGCAGCCAAGTTACAATCTTCAGTAATTTGTAAATTATGTTTACAAACAGGATTTACAGGATTTTGAAAGTGCCTAAAGCCTGGCTCACACTGTGCGATTTTTCCCCGATTGTATAAAAGTCGTTGTGGCATGTCAGCTCACACTGTACGACTGAATCGTTTATGACGCTCTACCAGACCTTGCGATTGACGTGTTCACACTGTTACGTGTGAAATCGGAAAGGAGCGTTGACAAATAAAGTTAATAAAGTTTCATTTGAAAAAAAAAACAAAGGACGACGGTTGGTGAAAGAGAAGGAAGTGAAAGTTGTTGTAGGATATAGGAAAGTTGATACAATCGTAGATCTATATGGAAGTTTCAGAAAAGTGCTGCACTGATGATCTGTACAGAAAAGTAAAAAAAAAAACGCTGGGTTGTGTCCTGCCGCTGGTCGCCATGACTACAGTCCTCCCTTGTCTCTCGTGATCATATTGTAGTCACACACAACTTCTGCCGGACCCTTTCATGATTTTAAATTATAAATATCAAACATGTTTGAAATAAATCGGGGCGTCCCCGACGATCGCCGGGCAGATCAGGGACGTTAAGATTGGATCTTTGTACCGCTCACACTACGAGATAATCTGAACAGATAATCGGTTCCGAGCAGCCTTGAGTCGGGAGCGACCCTGAGATTGTCAGGGAGGAAGAATCGGAGCTCAAATCGGCCCGATTATCCTGCAGTGTGAGCCAGGCTTAACTCAGAACACTACCTGCCGTTTCTATCTGTCAGAAAAGATTTTAAGTTTTTCAAGCATCATCTTATTTGTATGATCATTATCATTTACATTTTAATTAAAAAAATAAATGTACTGATTTAGTTCAAGAAAAAAACATTATTTGTTTCGTTTTGGAAAAGGATGAACACTGACATTAAAGCCTGTGATAAGAATCCCATTGGCCCTTCATACCTTTTTATGATGTACATCCAACCAACCATGTGACAGACCATCTAAAATGTCTGTAGATGGTGGTGAATATTGGAGTAAGTAGAAAGCTCATGTGTCTCATGTAGAGCATGGAGGCTGTCTTGAGTGTCTGTATGAAGCATTAAGTGCAGTGACAAAATGAGGGCATTTGACGACTTTTAGATGACAACCGGCTGACTATGCCGATGAATTTCAAAAACAGTATTAACAGATACTGTAGTACCTACTGTGTCAAAGTAAGAGGACGTATGATCACCTTGTTTATGAGATTAGATACACTAACAGAAAGATGTTTTTTGAATAACAGTGTGCAAGATGTTTTTTGTTATTGTGATCAGTTAACAGCTATTGTTTTCTTGCTTTTAAAGACATCTGTCTCTGCAGGCTGAGAAACATATGGCAGCTTCATTCTATTCTCCATTACAGACACGTGATGGCAGGCACAGCTGGTTTGCACATACTGC